GGATGAAAAGAGGGAAAAAAATTTAGAATTAATTTCTCTCTCCTCCATTCCCCCATTATTTCAAGAAAGATTCCTTCAGCATCTCTAAGTTTTTGCACAAAAATACATCCATGACTTGGTGATACCATTTAACCCTGTTTTCATAAGGACAATGATTTCTTTTTGAAGACTAAATAATATTTCATTTTCACAACTTTTCATGACTTTTTTTTTTCATTTTTATGTGTTGCCAAGTTTTTAAAAAATTTATGCTACTATTCTTATGTAGCCAATAGCTTGTTATAATAATGAAAATGTTGATAAGTTCACATTTTACTTGATTGTTTATAATTTTCATGTAAAAATTGTTTTATGTATTTAGTTTCACTTTTTAAAATTTTATGAATTCTAATATGCAATATTAAATCAAAGTTCCCATACATTCTGCTCCAGCATGGCTGAAGTATAATGTCAAACAGCTAGAATAGTCAAGATTAGAACCCAAGGACTCCAAATTTAATTCCCTTTACACCAAATCATGCTGCCTCATCATGGTTCCCATCAAAAATTTAAAAAGTATTATGTATTACCTCATACCTGTTAGAATGGCTATTATCAAAAAGACAAGAAATAACAGGTGCTGAGGATGTGAAGAAAAAAGAACCCATGTACATTGTTGATGGGAATGCAAACTGGTACAGCCACCATGGGAAACAGTATGGAGGTTCCTCAAAAACATTAAAAATAGAACTACCATATGACCCAGCAATTCCACTTCTGGGAATATATCCAAGGAAATTAAAATATTAGCTTGAAAAGAATCTGCACCCCATGTTCACAGCAGCATTATTTATGGTGGCCAAGACATGGAAACAACCTAAGCATTCAACAATGGATGAATGAATAAAGAAAATGTGGTATATAGAGATAATGGAATATTATTCAACGATAAATAAATTTTTAAAATGAGGAAATTCTACCATTTGCAACCACATAAATGCACTTGAAGGTCTTATGCGAAGTGAAATAAGTCAAACAGAAAAAGACAAATGCAGTGTGATATTACTTACATGTGGAATATAAAAAGAAAAGAAAGAAAACCAAACTCATAGAAAAAAAGATCAGACTTGTGGTTAACAGAGGCAAGGGGAAGGGGAAAGGGAATTGGAGGAAGGTGGTCAAAAGACACAAACTTCCGATTATAAGATAAATAAGTAGTACTAGGGATGTGATGTATAACATGACTATATAGCTAACACTGCTGTATGATATATAGGAAAGTTGCTAAGAGAGTAAATCCTAAGAGTTCTCATCACATGGAGAAATGTTTTTTTCCTTTATCATTTTCTTTCGATTTTATCTGCATGAGAAGATGGATGTTAGCTAAACCTGTTGTTGTAATCATTTTACAGTATATGTAAATCAAACCATCAGGCTGTACACCTTAACCTTTTTACTACGCTGATTTCAAGTTTGTTCAAAATGTGTCAAAAATCCACAGAAAATAATTATACTACTTATATTTTTAAGTAAATACAGGCAAAGTGCTACACTTTATTAAAATAAATGATTACTTTAAAGTATAAAAATCCTTTATTGTTATTGATTCTTGAAAAACACAAAAATATAGAAAAATGTATATCGCTTTCCTAAACTTCCTTTGTGGAACACTGAGCTCGTGGGGTAAAGTCAAACGCCACATGTCAGCGGCATGGAAATATTCGACTATAGACAAATGTTGCAGCAAAAATGTTAAATTTATACAGTGATATATGTCAGTTATTTCTCAATGAAACTGGGAGAAATTCCAAATCGATTTCCCATTTCACCAAACAATGCTGCCTTACATGGTTCCCATCAAAATTAACAGATTCACTAAAAGGAATATGCATCATCTCACACAGCTATTCTCAAAAAGGAAAGAAGTAGTAGGTGTTGGTGAGGATATGGAGAAAAGAAAACAACCCTTGTGCACTGTTGGTGTGACTGCAAATTGGTACAGCTACTATGAAAAACACTATGGCAGTTCCTCAAAAAATTAAAAATAGAACTATCATATGATCCAGCAATTCCACTTCTGGGTATTTATCCAAAGGAAAAAAACCACACTAATTCAAAAAGACATAAGCACCCGCTGCTCACAGCAGCATTATAAAAATAACCAAGACATGGAAGCAACCTAAGTGTCTATCAAAGGATGAATGAATAAAGGAAATATGGTATGTATATATACAATGCAATATTATTTAGCCTTAAATAAGAAGGCAAATCTTGACATTTGCTACAACAGGAAGGGACCTTGAGGGCATTATGCTAAATTGGTTGCCACAGGCAGGGATTGCAGTGTAGGTGAAATGTGTGAAGGTGGTCAAAAGGCACAAACTTCCAGCTACGAAATCATAAGTCACAGGGATGTAATGTACACAATAGTGACTATAGCTAATAATGGTATATTACATATTTGAAAGTTGCTGAGAGCAAATCTTAAAAGTTCTTATCACAAGAAAAAAAACTGTAACTGTGGTGATTGATGTTAACTGGATTTACTGTGACCATTTTACAATATATACAAATATCAAATTATGTTGTTGAAACTAATATAATATGCCAATTATATCTCAATAAAATCAATAATTTTGAAAAGGGATAATGTTTTAAATTTTATACTCCCTCACATACTCTAATATATTTAACCAGTAACTGGCACCTAAATTGAACTTTTTACATAATAAAACACACTTTCTTATTTATCATGACTCATAATTACAAACAGAATTATGGTGGGGAAAAAGGCGATGAGGGTACAAATACATAAAAACCTATGATTTGTAAAATACAGCGCAAGGAACTATGGAGCAATTAAAATAAATAAATAAACAAAGGCTTCATGGAATTTATAATCTGGTAAAGAAATTAAATCATGACCACAAATATAAAATAAAGAAACTATGAATACTTCATATGTTTAGAGGTAATAGTCTTTTAAAAAGTAAGGACAGGGGCCGGCTGAGTGGCTCAGTTGGTTAAGAGCTCGCTCAAAGGTTTGAGCTCTGAGCAAGAGCGGTTTGAGTCCGGCCCGAGCTGAGCTGCAGCTGAGCTGCCAACAGGTGGCAGGATGGCTCAGCTAAAAAAAAAAAAAGTATGGACAGCATTATAATAAGTAGAGCTCATTGATTCATTCAGCGATTAGTCATTCAGTACCTTCTGTAGTCTAGCCACTGAGCTAGGTAGAGGGTGTAACAGTGAATAAAACAGTATGGTTCCTATCCTCATGTGGAGAAACAATTAAGTAACCAATCAATACAGTTATTCTGGAAAAGGTTATAAAGAAAAAGACTAGCTAGGGCTCTTAACTTGTGTGTGTCTACATGCAGTAGAAAGTGGGAAGACAGGTAAGTAAGTAAGGCCTCACTAATGAACAAAGCAACATTCAAGCAGAGACCTAGCGGATGAGAAATCAGCCTTTAAAATCCTAAGCGCATGTACGTGCGCACACACGTGTGTTTGTGGTGTGTGTGTGTGTGTGTGTGTGTGTGTACATGTTGGGAGTGGAGAAGTTTAAGCCCAGGGAAGCAGCATGTGGAAAGACTTTAAGGCAGAGAAGCGCAGTGGCATATCTGATGACTCAAAAGAGCAATGTGACTGAAGTTTGGTGAGCAATCAGAAAAATGGCACGGAGTTGGAAAAATAGGCAGGGGTGTGAATCCACAGATCAAAGAAGCAGGAGGTTCAGGGTACATTGGAGAAATAACAAATATACTAATTTGGCTATAGTACGAGGCTAATAAAAAACAACAGTTGCACACAACCCTCAGGTATAAAATTTTAATTTAATTCTTACTTCATTCACAGTAAGAGAAATGTTTCCCTTAAAGGGATGAAGGATAACAGGCTCAAAAAAGCTGAAAAACTTGCTAATAAGGCTGTACAGCTAATAAGCTAAGTCACAAATCCCAGACATACCAGCCCAAGTGAAACCAGTATTCTTTCAACTACTAGTAATGAAAACTAAGGTAAAAAATACAAACTGGGTTAAAGTCAGGCTAAGGAATATGGGCTTTCTTATGGACAAAAACAAATGGAAGTGACATCAATGAATGATTCTGATGCGCTCCACAGTGCACACAGAATACACTCAAGCATAAGTTCCTTTATGTACAATTACCATATATTATATCAATCATTTTACAAGGCATTCCCCAGAAAGAGAGAGAAAGAGAAAGAGAGAGAGAGAGAGAGAGAGAGAGAGAGAGTGTGTGTGTGTGTGTGTGTGTGTGTGTGTGTAGTCAGGGACAGAGGAGGCTAAGTTCCATGTTCAATCAGAACATACCTACTTTAATGTTTTATATTTAGAGTTAGTTTGAAAAAAGAACTCCGCTCTTTGAAAACCAAAGATTATAAATAAATTAACTTTGGCTCCAAAATCTTACTCTTAAGATCTAAAACCTACTGGCAGTAGAGCCTTTCTTTCACCCATTATATGCCCTGCCCTAATTATAACTGCTTTAATAAACACACTATTTTTTTCAGATTTTCTCCTAAAAGCCAACCATATACAATTGCAGTTTATTAAATTCAATTTCAGGTTAAGATTTCTGCCTCCACTCCTTTAGAAATAATATATAAGCCTACTATAAAGTTTCTTTGTATATTAAGGCATTATAACATTTAAAATGTGAGATAAATACATTCTAAAACTACTACAAACCGTTTTTCAATCACTAAAAAATGAAGACTAAATATTGTACATTGATGCTCAAAAAAAACAAATATTACTAGTGAACACCTGATGTGTGATAAATATGCTTTGATGTTTATGTCAGTGACTCAAAAGCCACTAAGGAAACTAAAATAATTCTTCAACATAACTACATTTAAAATAGTCTGACATTAAGGCAATAATTTTATGTATCTAATAATTACTCAAATGTATCTAATAATTACTCAAATATCTATAACAAAATCTGTAAGACAGCAAAATCATGAGACACAGAACTGGTTATGTAAGTATGCACACATACCTTTATCCTTCTTAAAATCCAAAGCATCTTCTTTATCAGTAACTATCTCCTTCATATTGATAATACTCTGGTGAGTAAGCTGCCGGAGAATTTTAATTTCTCGAATTGCTGTAATCGGAAAGCCTTCCTTTTCATTATCTAGACGTACTTTTTTTAAGGCTACCATCTCTCCTATTAGAAAATTAAATAAAATCAGGTTACCACATAACATTTTTCTTAATTTTAAATATATTTTAATTCATAATTTCTGTTCCTACCTCGAAATTACAACCCACAAAATATATTTTAGTTTGCAATATACCAAATTATAATGTTGATAGTTGAAGAAATTAACATTCTGGCTAAATAAATTATGTGATATTTATCCAAACTGTGGAATACTATACAAGTGTATAAGAAGACAGGGTAGGTCCATATATATTGTTGTTTCATGCTCTCCAAGATATATGAAATGAAAAAAGCAGGAAGATGAAGAGTGGACACATTACACTGTCATTTTTAAAAAGTAAAGAAGGGGAGGATAAATATATCCAATATGCTAATATATGCATAAAATCTCTCAGATGAGAAAATTCTGTAGGTTGTACAGGTGAGAAAATATGCTAAGACATAATAATTTGTCCAAAGTTGCCCAGTTATGCACTAGTGAAAGTGGGGTTCAAAATCTGGTTTAGTTGTCTCAAAAGTATGTGCTCTTCCCTCTATACTAAATAGCCTCATAAATTAGGTATAGTAAGTTTGTATCAGATAAAATCTAAATATTAAATTAAACACACACATGCATACACACAGATTCTATTGTAAGAAAATACTCATTATAATAAAGTTTTGTTCAATCTACTTTGGAGGAAAAAAAGGAATTCTATACTTACAAATTTCCAAAAGAAGAATGTTTATCGTTTTAATCATTAAAATGTATTTGATTCTTTTTTATGGAATTCTAAAATGAGGGTGATTCCTTGTTTTAATAAACAGCTTTAAAAGTTATAATTTAATCTCTTTGATAATGCATCATTATCATAATATTATTACTCCATGCTATAATGCCTTCAGGAGTTTCTAAGTATAAGGTAGTCTCCTCTGTATTAAAAGGCCTGAAATAGCTATGTGATTTTAATCTACTGGTTTATTTCAACAAGGAATTATAAGATTATACACTAGCTCTGTGCATTACTTAGTAAAATATTGGGTTGTCGGAAAAGTATGACATATTTTTCTGTTTTTCATTGCAAAAATGCGTCATGACTTTTCCAACAACCCAATACATAGTTTCTGACAGTTACTTTTTAAAACTGTGTCTCAAGTTCCTGATTACGTTTTGAAAGATTAAGCTGCTAAATCCGGCCTTCAAATAAAGGGTAATTTCTACAGATATATATTGGCCAAAATAAAAGTGTTGCAGAAGGCTTACTACAACAAAATTTACTACTAAGAAATAAGGTCAAGATACCTTTTTCCTCTTATTAATAACAAAGTTAGAATTTATTTGCCATAAAAGTAACCTAAATCCCACCAATCTACACATCACAAATACTAAAGGAACACTTTAAAAATATATAAATGTATACGCACCCACTTACATATACTCATATCTTACATAAGTGCACATATAAAATAAAAAACAAGATCAAACAAAAACATGATAAATTAGAAGAGAAACACAAATTGTTATTCCATAGGCCCAAAGATCCACAGCATTTGTCATTCTTACCAGTGTCTTTATCCCTGGCCTTGTAAACTTGTCCATAGGTACCTTCTCCAATAATCCCGATGATATCAAATTTATCCACGCAGCGTTTTCCCCAGTCAATATCTTTCTCTTTGATTTCACCATAGCGAGGCCCACATATTCTATCAAATATAGTTCTGAAGTTTTTATATACAATCAAGCAAATCGAATACACTGTTTTAATACTCAATACCCACCCTCCACTCAATCATATCCTTTATTTCCCTTACCGTTCCATATTTGTGATCTACGCAACTCGGGGATTTGGTATTATAAATTAATCATGAAAGTCAAGGTATCATTCACCACACTAACCCTTCTTCTGTAGATTAGCACTTAAACTGGGAAAAAGAGGTAAAGCATGCATGAAGGACTTTCAGAAATAACACATAATTTTTCAGTGAGTGGACAAAACTACACTAGTATGAAGAGTCAAAGTTCTCTAACCAACCTCCAGAAATTTTTTTCACTCTTTGACTATATATATCAGCTTTCGAAAGATAAAATCTGGATAACGAACATTACCAAAAATCTAACTATAAGGCTTACGGACAAACGTAGATTTATGGCTACATAAAATTGTCTTAAAAATGGAAACACCAGAAAGACTTAGTTTAAGAGAGTGCAAAAGTATTAAAATCAACTCTCATGAATCCACATTTTCAGTGTGTGCACGTGCGTGTGTGTGTGTGTTATATGATAAATACCTGACATTCTTCAAAGAGATATGTAATTTTGTAGTATTTTAATATTCTGGTAGATAACAGAAATTCAAATAAAGGAATAAAGCTATTAATATGCAAGGAGAGGTTATTTTTAAAATTTTCTAGCTTTCTACTCCATACTAGAAAATCACCTCATACTCTCACAGGTGTCACCTAAACAGCAATCTCAAAGTCTTTCTCTCATTTTCAAATGGTTAAAAAGTAAAAAAGGAATCAACATTCTCCCACTTAACTGAGGAACAGGTTTCAAGGGAAAAATTTATCTCCACGCACTTACTTACTTATCTCCACGAAGCTAATTTATAACAGATTTCAAACCTTCTTCAATTCCACCTCTTGCGAAATGAAGAATGAATTTAGTTATGGGAGCAAATGGAGCTAAAAGCAAAGGAAAGCAGAGCAGCCGGCCCATTACTAATTTTGTTTGGGCTCACTAAATGCCAACTTCCACCTTGTCCAATTTTGGTGATTCTGTGTTATTTAAATATCTTAATTATAGAAGTTATGGTATTGAACACATACAATACCCCAAGAAATTAATACATTACAAATTGTGAGAGAAAATTAAATGTGGTTTTATTAGTCATTTTGAATAGGTATGCAGGTAATTATGAAAAATTTTTTTCAAAGCTCTAATAGAATTTATTCATATACTTAAGTTAAATAAATACACTTATTATTTTAAATCTTAATTTTTGTTTTATGATTTTATGATGATCCAGAATCATCTCTGATCAATTTAAGAGCAGGTAGAAAGTAAGCACATACTTAGGCCTCCTTTTACTATGTAACTGTGTTGCTGTTTTCTTTTCCTCTGGACTCTTGGAGAGATCATCTCCTCCTGGTAGCTCAGGGGGTAGTGGTAAATCAGCAAGTAGACATCGGAGTTTCTTTTCTACTTCTTTTTTAACTGCTTTTACTGAAATATTTCCTCGTAAACTAAAAAAGAAAGGAGTCAGACAAATAACAAAACACAAAAATTTATTTCATTGAGAAATTAAAATGCAGCATGTTTTACACTTAAGTAGCATGCAATGGCAAAATACTAAACTGAGTTTCTTTACTTTCCAGCTAAAATAATATACTATATTCAATTGCAAAATATTAAATGTGGGGGTAAAAATGATATAGAACTAGATCAAAACTAAGGAAATGTGAACAAAGTATAGAAGTATAGACCAGCAATATTGGTTCCTTAATTGTAACAAATGCACCATACTATGTAAAATGTTAATAATGAGGAAACTCAGTGTAGGGTATATGGGGACTCCATAAAGCATCACTGCAATTTTAACACTGTTTTTAAAAAAATTGTATATTCTAAGAAATGATATATAATTACTATAAACTACATTAAAATTGAAAGTCAACTGGTCATGTTTAACAAAAAAATTCATTAATTTTGTAATAGCATTTGGTTTTATTCAGTGAAGAGACAAAAGCTGTCTTGTAATAAATAAATAAAACTACAGGCTGTTAGTCACCTTGCCCATTTAAATAACCACAAACAATCTAGCTGCACCCCTTTTCAGGTTAATTTTTCTAAACTGGACACTGATTCTTTAAAAATTTTTTAAGGCTCTAGCTTACCAGAATTGCAAGTGAAATTTGAAGCTTAGTTATGTACTTTTTATGAATGCATCAAGAGCTCTGACTTTTAAAGTATATCTGACCTTGGAAATTGATTTTAGACACCCCCAGATATTACAAAATCTGTTATCTAATAATAGAACATGTTGAAAGAGAATCTTAAAAGGATAACAACATTTGGACTTCACATACTTAAATGGCAGTTATGGGTCCTGTAATGAAAAAGTTTAATGACACTACACTGCTGTGGTCATAAGTTACTAATAAAGTTATCAACATATCATTTAATTTTAATAACTTCAATTAATTTTGAACATTAGTATTATTGTACAACAAATGGATCCTTTAATACCATCTGATAAAAACTATCAATCATAATAAAATTGTACCTGTTCTTCATAACCCTGTTACTCCCTAGAAGGTTCTTCAACAGAGAAAACATGCTCAAAAGAAAATTGGTTTGCCGTTTTATTTTTAAACTAATAATATCACAGAGCCCACTTTTCAATTTTATTGTCCCATTCAACAAATCCCAACTGTACACTTCTATGTGCCAGGTATTACAGAAGGCACTGAAGAGGTAACAACAAAAACAATAACAAATGCATTAAAATGTTGTTCCTCTCTGAAAAGAGCTTACAGTTTTTTGGAAGACACCATCAGGTAAGCAACAGGATAAAATACTATGCAAACGGATACCCAGAGTAATGTGGTGGCTAAAGGTTAACTAAATCAGGATTCAAAGATGATAAAAACTTCTTTTTATAAAAGACCCCATTTGAACTCTACGTGAAAATAAGCCTATTTAAAATAATTTATTTAGAAAACTGTATTTGCTAACCTGTACTTAGGCTTTACTCAAAAATTCTCATTTATCTGAGGATTCAAATCAGCATGGGGGGGGACACTAAACTTTACTTATAATTTGAAATTTAAAAGACTTTCTGTATTCAAATATATAATATCATTATATGAACTACCAAATTCAGCAAGATTCCCAGACTTAAGAGAAATGAAATACTGCTTTCCAAGAATAACACTATATAATTAAAAACATTGTATTTTCACTCAATATTTGCAATAACCAAATAGGAAATATGATTTTTAAGAAGTTTCCATACACTACAACAAAAAACAATACAATGCCTTAACAAGAAATATACAAGACCAACAGAAGAAAATTTAAAAACATCTGACTGAAGAACATAAAACTAGATCTAAATGAATGAAAAGAGGACATGTTTTTATGTAGGAAACTATAATAATATAAAGCTGTCAGTCTCCAAATCAATCTATTACATTTAATAGAGTCCCAAACAAGACCCAAGGAAGAGTTTTTTAAATACAATTAGACAAACTGACTGACATTAAAATCTGTCTAAGAATAAAAGCAAAAAACTGCCCAGAAATCTCTAAAAAAGAATAATGACGTGGCAGTGTGCCCTGTCATATGGTCAGCCTGTCTAAAAAGATCTCAAACTTGAAGCCAAAGGCCTGTTGAGGTCAAACAATATGTATTATTGTCTACCCAATGTTTTGTATTGGGTTGTCTGAAAAGTCATGACGTATTTTGTTCTGTTTTTCATTGCAAAAATGAGTCATGACTTTTCCAACAACCCAATAAAACACTATGATTTAATTGTCATTATTTTTAAATCATAAGATTTACATAAATGTTCAAATTCCAGGCTTCTTAAAAAATAAAAATAAAAAACCCTAGCAACACTGGGCCCAAACTCATGTACAGCAGCAGCACTTAGGTTCAGGCTGTGTCTGGGCTGCTCACAAGTCAGTAATTATTCCATCCTTCACTTTTACATTGCCTGCCTACCCCTGTAATAGAAATTGGAGTTTGAGAGCCAATATACCATGCATATAAAGAAGTTCAAACAAAAGGTACTGACAAAGGAAATAATAAAGCATGTTAACAGAAAAGAGAGTGCAGAAACATACAGCCATCTGGTAAGAATTTTTATATATGGCACTACAAATCAGTGACAAGGATTATTCAATGAATAGTGTTACTAATTGGATCTATTAGTCTACAAGGTGATAAGGGAGAGTCTCATCTTTCTTCTTCATATAAAAACCAAAAAAATCAAATTTTCTGTGAGATTTGAGTTAACCTTTTTTAAATTTATAAACTCAGAAGTTTTAAAGGATCTGACTACATTTAAAAGATGGAAAAACACACAGCAAAAAACAAAATGAATAAATCAACAGACTCTGGGATACGAAAGACAGTTTGGGGAACATAATCAATAATGTTGCAAAGATTTTGTAGGATGCCAAATGGACACGTCTTGTTAGGGAGACCACTTCATGGATGGTGTAGGCGCCTGACCACTGCAGTGTACACATGAAGTTGAATAATAATGAATGTCAACTATATTTATATATATATATATTTATAAATATATAAATATAAATATATAAATATAAATATAAATATATATATAGTTGACATTCATTATTATTCATATGAAAGTATGAATATTATTCATACTTACTATTCATATGAGTATTATTCATATACTCCATATTATATATGGAGTACAGCATAAGGAATAGAGTCAGTGGAACTCTAACAGCTATATACGATGTGAAGGGGGTAGTAGATTGGGGGAGGGGGATTATCACTTTCTGAGGGGTATAAATGTCTAACTATTACATTGTTTTGTACACCTGAAACTAATTTTTTTTTAAAATCCCTCACAGAAGGAGCACCTAAAAATCAACAGAAAAAGGAAAACAATTTTAAGGAAAATCTAGCATAAGATATGAACAAGTAATTCACTGGAAAAAATAAATAGCCAATGAATGTTCAAAAAGATGCTGTATTTCAATAATTAGAAAGATGTAATATTAAATCACTACATATTTTAAAGATTGACAAAAATTCAAAATTGGCAATATTCAGCGTTACTGAAGTAATTTCACACATTTGCATGCATAAATTGGTACACAGTCTTACTGAGAAACAATTTGCCAGTTTCTATCAAATTTTTAAGTGTGCATATTTTGCTCACAACTATCCTACGAAAACCTCTCACATGTACATGAAATATTGATATAAGGAGTTTAATAGTAAACAATTACAAATCTAAGTATCCATTAATCAACAGCAGAATAGTTAATAAGAACATGATGCATCCATTCCTATAGACAGGAATACTGAACCTATGTATACCAGCATGGAAAAATCTCCATCCAACACAGTAAATGAAAAAAACAAGTCAGGACCAGCCAAATGGCTCTGTTGGTTAAGAACTCACTCAAGAGTTTGAGCTCTGAGCAACAGCGGTTCAATTCCCGGCCTGAGCTGAGCAGCTGCTGAGCTGCCAATAGGTGGCAGGATGGCTCAGCTTAAAATAAAAAACAAGTCAAAGAATATTATACATAGTACAATCTTAATATTTTTTAAAAAGAAAACATTATATGAAAACATAATTGCCAGTCTATCTTATGATTTTTGGAGAGTAATGGATTCCAGGTCTGGGAGAGAAGCAAAGTTCAAAGTGAACCTAAAAGTTATTATTTAGCTAGGAAACAAGAAAGCACTCAAAAACCAATGGGATCATGTCAAAAGGACAGAGTCAGCTTAGAGTTCCCACTGGCCAAATTTCAGACACTGGAGCATCAAAAGGAAGAGTAACAGTAACTAGTGTTGAATTAATCTTTAGTCACACACACATTAGTAGTAGTATTCAAGAGTCTTAAAGAATCTTCTATATCCTGAAACATACAAATACATTAAAAAAAAAAAAAAGCAGAGACCCAACGAAAGAGAAAAGCAGAAAAGACAGAAAAGAAGGTGGGTAAAAAATTTGTTGAATGACTAAGTATAAAATGTGCCACTATCTCATTAAAAACAGATGCATAAAGAATGTCTTTCTTAAGCATTCACATGGGTATGTCCTGAGTTCCTGAAAATATCATCAGTAAAATTGTATCCCTAAAGCACATATGAAGAATAAAGTAGCAAACAGCCGGTTTCACTGGTCCAGAATCACTGGATTCTCAGCAACTGGTTTATTCTCTCACAAATGAAGTGAATCAATTCTGTATTCATGCCTCTCTGTGCTGGAACGCCTATGCCAGCACTCATCAAAATTACAAATCAATATTGTTATGAACCGTCAGTGCTCCTAGACAACAGTCAAACCTGGAAATACAACCATTAGAGTAGTACAGTGGGAGTGGGGTAACACCTGATTAAATTGGATGGGGTCTCTCGGCAACATTTTTGACTGTAGTTAAAAGACACCTCAGAAGGCATGAAACATGGGAATTGTTATTTATTTTTTATTTGTTTTGTTATAACATTTTCAGAATGCTAACCAAAGTGAGCACTTGAAAGGCCTGCTCACATGGCATTTTTATCCATTTGTTTTCAAATTCTATAAAGATGTCAGCTAGGAAAATTGCCCATATAATTCCTTTTTTAAGACAGTAGGGGGAAAAACAACTCTAATTTCTTCATAAAAATAAAAATGAAAAAATTAAGCAGTATAATAGGCAGATATCACACAATAGCATAATGCTTCCATCCTAGCATACACTTAAGAAATATTCTTAGAACTGCATTTACTTTAGACACACTTACCTTCATTCTCTTAAAAATAAAATGTTTCAAAATAAAAAACAAGTCACACCTCCAATATTCATAACAGAAATCTGTAAACATGTTAAAGGAAAGCATAACCACATTATGGGTTTTCTATAATATGTAATTAATCTTTAATTGCAAAAGAGTTTTAAAAGTCAAGAAAAGACAACTAAAAAGTGATGAATTTGTAAAGCCACCACTTTAAATTTAAAAGGCCTCTGAAGAAACTTAGAATTAACCAAGACACATGTTTTATACCACCCAGAACAGACTCTCTCATAAAATGTCCTCTCTCTGATAGTATATCCTGTCTCAGATAGTATCATTGAGGAATACTAACCAAAATAAACACTGGCATTTCTAATTCCCAAACTCAAACTGATTTTATACATTGTATTCCTCAAATTCTTAGCCTAAACTATAATTTTGTCACTCTACCAGCAATGTGCTTCATTTTAAGACATATATAATACAGAGAATTAATTCACTTATTTATAGTCTGTATAGTTTTGTGTTTTATTTGGGGGGGGGAGGGTCAAATAATTTCTCAGTTCAAAGTTGTATTTTTTTCTTTACACAGTTATTGACCAAATTTTGGTGCTCACCTATTATCGGCATCTTTATCTTCAGGCAGCATGGGAGGCAAAGGTAAAGGTGGTAACGTAGAGGTCACTAGAGCCACATGCTGCTCCTTCTCCTTGGCACCTATGCTCGGTGTGAGTGGTTTGCTTTTCTCTTTAAGAGATGCTGGTTCCTCCTTTGTAGCAGCAGCAGATTTACTCTCCTTCCCAACTACAGTTGCTTTCTTAACGGCTTTATCTACAACCAAATTATTGTCCACCTTTGTTACCTGAAGAGGTGGCTTTGTTTTTGCTTTGTCATTTTTTACAGTTCCACCACCGGAGGGAGAAGGTGCATGCTCAACCTTCAGTTTCTTCACATCCTTCACATGGTTTGTCTGTGACGCACTGGCACCAGTTTCTGTGTTCCCCTTGGTAGGTGTTGAAGTGTTCGAGGCTTTGGCAGCTTTGGCAGCGGCCTCAGCAGCCTTAGCCGCTTCTGCAGCTTTCGCTGCTTCTGCAACTCGTGCTGCCTCTGCAGCCCGGGCTTTTTTATTCTTGTTCAATTCAGCTGCCAGGCTACTCTTCAGAGTTAGTGTGCTAGGAGAAATGCTAGAATGACGACTTCTGGATCTAGACAATCTGTGCCTGCTACGAGATCTTGAATGCCTAGATGAATACGGGCTTCTGCTTCGGGATTTAGCAGACCGTCTGGTGGAAAATAATTAAGAGTTAATCAGAAATTCAGAAAAGTTCAGTTTAAAATTTACAAAAACTTCTAATTCGGGCTGTGAAATGAAAAGAAATTTCAAAATCATAATATCGTTTTTATGGGGTTTTTTTTAAGAAATACTTTTAGGAAGAATATTATCTGGTGATCTGGTAGCTATAGTTTTCTTTAAAACAGTGATTGTCTTAACCTTGGTCTAGCCTACGAATGTTCAAAGATGGGGCTGGATGCAAGCAGATCTCTGTAAAAAAGAAATACTGCTAAGAATGAGGAGGGGGAAAAGTGTGACAAGGCATCAATGCTGTCTCAGAAAACAGAAGCAGGCAACAAAGATACCAGTGGTAGCAGCAGTAGGGTGAACTCTGACCAATCTTTTACCAGGGAGACAATTTCTACATCTCAGAAGCACCTTCACCCATAAGTTCAGAAGTAAGTAGTGCTCTGTCTACAGCAAGAGTGAAAATGACAAAACCTGTCATTAGGCAATAAGTAACAGTCTTTAAATTTTGGAAACTACTTAATAATAATTGTGTAATTCACTTCTCCAAAATTATTGGAAAACATAAAACTAACATTTAAAACTATGGTAGCAACCAAAGTTCCTCTAAAACAAATGCAGCACAGAACCAAGTGAGCTTTTCAAATCCATACCTTATCAAAACTTAAAAAAAATACAAGACTAAGCACTATGATAGTACTTTGACATGTTATCTCATTTAATGCCCATATTAACCCAGGAACCTACAGTTTACAGATAAGAAACTGAATCTAAAATATTAGGTTACCATAAGTCATTGCCGTACTCATTAGTAGTTGCATTGGTTATTATCTTATTGCCACTACCCTCTTCCTCCAATACTCTTTTACCCTATTTTGTGACCAGGGAGGCTGACCTCAACAGATCCATCTTCTGGGTTTTGGTGCCATCTGTCAGTGGCAGAAGATCAGAAGGCAGAAAAAGGCTGGATTCTTTCTTGCCAGCTCCCTCCCTTCTCTGGCCACATTTTCTGACAGAAGCTGTGTCCCTCTACTACCATGCTCCTGGCAGGCACCCCCTTCTCCTTCTCAATGCTAAAAAATTACACTATGATTTTCCTTGCCCCTTTGAGCTTCCCTCTGTAACTAGTGAAAACATCCCTTGTAGGTTCCCTTAACCCATCCCTATGTCTACGGTCCTTCATTAAAGTCTCCTGAACCATCTGAGTTAGATTCAGTTTCCTTCTAGAATCTTGTTTGATCTAGTTGTATGCCAGGTCTTAAACCCAGATGTTTTGACTCTGAAGTAAGTATGTTAACACAATGAACATATTGGGTCATTGGGAAAGTCGTGACACATTTTTACATTGAAAAACATAGAAAAATATGTCCTGACTTTCCTGATGAACCAATGTTAACATACTGCTTAAGAGAGAGCTCTCGCTAAAATTTTGTGCAAGTTACAGAGACAGTGTTAAACTTCTAGAAAACCATGATTAAGATGGGCAAAAGAAAAGGAAGAACTGGACATTTTGTTTATATGACAATATAGTATGGAGGGAAAAGAAACATTCTACAATTCTAGTATGAAAAACAAAATGATTAGGTGTAGAATAAACTCAAATACAAATTCAACTTCTCCCTCACTCTTTTCAAAAACATTTCCAAATGTACCAAAGGACAACTAACGTCAGCAGTGAGCTACTGCTTCATACAAACTTCATATACAGTATCTGCCACATTATTTTTGGTTAATAAAAACACTGATTGGGAAACATTCTAATCTAACACTTGTTTATCATTAAATATATATACACACCAATCCTTAAAAATCACCAATGAGCTTATAGTTATTAATGGAAATGAGAGGTGATGTTTGGCTAAATATAAACTGATAAGTTGGTTGTAACATATTTTGGATAACTTTAATATAGGAACCAAAAATGTCATAATATGAAACAATCAGCCACATTTTTTATTTTCTCCCCAGTAAGAATTAAGACTCTTGGACCTCAAAACAGGCCTGATATAGTCGTGTTTCCACACCCTGATCAGATACTGATGAGCAGCAGAAAAGCACACAGCAGGAGAAAGCAGACTGTCATCTCTTCAGAGGTAACTTCACAGACCTTTTCTCAAATAAACTTTCCTGTGCTCACATACAGACACATAAATTTTATTTAACTGAGAAATTTATGATCAGTGAATTTTACCTAAGTGTTACAAAGATATTGGGTAAAAATCCCAACACAACTTCTCTGGCCTATTAAATTATTGTCTTCTGGACAAAATCTGAGTAAGAGAGGTATCAGTAAAGATTTTTTAAAAGCTCTGCTGCATAAAAGGGGTATTTTTTTAAAAGGATATTTTGAAAATGATGTTTTATGGTATATACCAACTGAATTCTCCTAGACATATCCTGCATTCCTCTCCAATTGCTCTATTTCCTTCAAAAGTTCCTTAACTTTTTAACTTCATGTCCTAGTAAACTTGCATTCTCTCAGGTATTGCACATCTGCTAATAAATTTCAATTCTATATTTATTGTTATAGCACATAATTTGGGAATATAAAACATAAATATAAAACTCAAGTTTAGGTCATTTTTACTAATGATCTAATACTTCAGCTATACAAAGTTATGAGGGTAAGAGAAGTAGATCTCTAAGACTATATAATGAATTGTACCACGATGTCTTACTCAAAGAACTGAAAAGGATGGCACAGACAGCAAGTTTTTGTTTTATAAAATTTTTCTTTTTAAAAACTTTTTTCTAGTATTTTTATACTGTAGATTCTGCAGTGAATATATTAGCTATTCCTGTTTGTTTTTAATGTTTTTAAAGGTTATAGGATCTCTTTAAGAAGTGAAGATACCTTTTTATGCTTCTAACAAGGTTTCCCAAATTCATACCACACAAAACAGAACCAGGATAAAAATCCAGTATCCTGAAACACAACTGCTTAATGCTCATTGTTATTAGGTTAGTGTCCCTCCCTCATAGAGAGACAGAGCATGGTATACTGTTCACCTGATCCAATCAGACAGCCTCTCCAAGAGCACAGGTTTTCTGAAATTGTGCCTAATTAGCAAACACTGATTCTCAAAAATTCTACTATAATATCCAATCCCTCATTATATAAAATAACATAGAACAGTGCTATCCAATAAAACTTTGTGGGATGATACAAATGTTCTATACATGTGATATCCAATACAGTAGCCACTATTCACAGTTTTAGCTTCATTTTTCTACCCTGCTTATTTCACATGCTAATAGCAGCTGAGTCCATTTCAAAAACTTGACAGCCCCTCAAAAAAGGTATAAAACGTTTCCCATGCAAAGATAGTTCAACATATGCAAATCAATAAATGTGATACATTGCATTAACAAAATGAAGGATAAAAATCCTATGATCATCTGGATACAGAAAAAATCATTTGACAAAATTCAACATCTGTTTATTATAAAAACTAAATAAACTGGGTATAAAAAGAACATGCCTCAACATAATAAACACCATATATGAAAAGCCCACAGCTAATATACTCAACAGTGAAAAGCTGAAAGCTTTTCCTCTAAGGTCAGGAACAAGACAATGATGCCCAGCTCTCACCACTTTTATTCAACACAGTACTGGAAGCCCTAGCCAGAGCAATTAGGCAAGAAAAAGAAATAAAAGGCATCAAAATCAGAAAGGAAGAACTAAAATTTTGTTTGCCGATGACATGGTCTTAGATAGAAAGCCCTTAAAGACTCCACCAAAAAGTTGTTAGAGATAATAATTCAGTAAAGTTGCAGGATACAAAATCCACATACAAAAATCAGTTGTGTTTGTATACACTAACAACAAACTATTGTAAAGAAAAATTAAGAAAACAATCCCATTTACAATAGCATCAAAAAGAATAAAATGCTTAGAAATAAATTTAACCAAGGAGGTGAAAGAAACTGAAGACACAAATAAATGGAAAGATATTGCATGCTTATGGACTGAGAGAATTATTATTGTTAAAATGTCCACACTACTCAAAGGGATCTACAAATTCAATGCAATCCCTATCAAAATTCCAATGGCATTTTTCACAGAAATAGACAAAACAATCCTAAAATTCATACAGAACCACAAAAGACCTTTAATAGTCAAAGCAATCTTGAAAAAGAACAAAGCTGTAGAAAACACACTTCCTGATTTCAAACTATAATTACAAAGCTATAGTAATCAAAATAGTATGTCATGTATTGGTATTGTAAGAGCACTATTAACTATAACAGTATTATGGCAGCCTCTTAAATTTACCTCCTTTTTCAAATCTTCTTCTACTCAAACTAATCCATCCTTACATGCAAAGTGAACACCTTCCTCTAACATTGGTTCCTTGCCAGTCTCTATTTTTCATTTCACTACTCTCCTCTACCCATTTATGCATGCAGGCTAGAAATCTACCCAATTTCCTTGTGCCCATACCACTTACCACCAAATGTCTCATTTTAGTGACTCTAACTCTACATTCCCTTATATCCATACTTTTCTCTGCATGTTTCCTATTGCTACTGTAATAAATTACAACAGATTTAGTGGCTTAAACAACACAGATTTATTATCTTACAGTTCTGGAAGTCAGAGGTCCAAAATCAGTCTCAGTGGGCTAAAATCAACATGTCACCAGGGTTTTATTCCTTCTGCACTCTCTTGGGAAAACCTGTTTCCTTGCCTTTTCCAACTTCTAAAGGCTGTCTATTCCTTGGCTCACGGTGACAAATCAATCCAACCTCTGCTTCCATCATCAAATGGCCTTTTCTGACTCCAACCTTCCTGCTTCCTTTTATAAAGACCCCGTGATTACATAGTACTCATCCAGGATCATCTCTCCATCTCAAGATCCCTATTTTAATCACATCTACAAAGTTTCTTTTGCCATGTAAGACAACATATTCACAGGTTCACATGAACATTTTTGAGGGAGCAGAGGCATAATTCAGCCTACCACGCCCTCCTCTTCT